GTAGCAGTAGTAGTAGTAGCAGCAAACTGTAGTGACAAGTGGTGATTGTGGTAACAGGGGCGAAGGGCTAGTTGTGGAAGCAAAAGTCTTCGCAGGAACAATGATTGCAACGAAGTCGTAGCAACAAGCAGCATCGCTCACTATCACACCGCCACTATAGTATCATATACAGGAAGCAATCGACCGCAAGACGAGCGCTATGTCTTGCCCTTGCGCCGGGGGCCCGGACTAATGGCCGGAGGCTTCACCTGGCGGGAGCAGGCAAGGGTCTTCCTGGCATCGAGCTCCAGGTGCAGTGGCCTGCAATAGTCTTGCTGTGATGTGTGTGTGTGTGTGATATTTCTCTATTACCACGATTATTTAATGTTACTGTTGCTATAGTTGCAATGACCTTCACGGACCATTATCCAAATTCTAATACGTTTGGCGCACCTTGGTGTCGACCCCTTCGGCGTCAAAGCCGGAGACCATGCGTTCGACCTCACTGGACCACTCTCACAGTGAGCGTTGGGGTAGGCTCCATTGGCAACCAGCAAGTAGCGAATGAAAACTGAGCCGAAGCTGAAGATACTGATATAGAGGCCATAGTATAATTGGCAGAGGGTTGTCAAGTTGTGGGTTCATTATACTATATAATAAGGAACCCCCAAATAGTATTGGTAATTGTTTAGGCGCCTACATTACTGCGTCAACCAGTGTTCTTGCAGATGCTCCCCACACATAGTTTAACCTATATTCATATAAACCCTAAACCTAGCTAGGTTGTTCAAGTGCTAGATGCCCATCTTTGAACCTCTCAGCCAAGCCGTGGTTGTGGCCACTTTAGTCTGCAGTGGGTAACGAACTCCACAATGTGTCGGCTGCCGCAGCTCCCCAATGACAGGGACGGTCGTCAGAGCGCAACTAATATTGAACCAGGAGGTAAGAATGCACGGCATCACACGGCAATGTTTGGTTAGTCTTAAACCCATTTTTTGACCTTTAGGGCTCAGGGTCTAAACCCTAAACTTTTAATTTGCTATATACCCTAAACCAAAACTTTTAAACCCTAAAGCGTCTTCGATTTGACCCTGAACCCGAAAAGGATCCCTAGGATAAAGCCCTAAACCCCCAGAGGCGCCGGCGAGGCGGTCCGGGTATCGGGGTGGCTCCTGCGGCACTGCGCAAGGCTCCTCGGAGTGAGAGCTGGGCTGCTTTAGGCTTTCGGGTTTAGGGCTCAGGGTTTAGGGGTTGGGGGCTTAAGGCTTTTTTGGTTTAGTACTTCAGGGTTTAAGGGTTTGGGGCTTTAGGGGTTTAGGGCCTAAGGGTTAGGGCGGCTAGGGTCTGGGCCGCTGGGCCGCAGCAAGTTGGGATAGCCTGAATTTAGCGGGGCTTATTCAGATAATATAGTTAGAAGAGGGCTTCGGGGTATCGATTCACCGCCCTTTACCAGCCGGTAGAATCATGGATCATGAACTGGTATGTAACTATGGTCTGCTGCTGGCGGCTCGTCGCTGTTCAAGGATTGACTTGAGCCTCCGCTGTGAAAGCCCATAAACCTCGAGCCCCAAGCCCCTAAACCACAGCAGCAAAGTTTCGAAACCCAAGAGCCCCAGAGCCCTAGCAACGCTGGGCCCTCTTCAAAAACCATGAAAGCCTAAAGACCCCTGTAAAGACCCCATCACCGCCCAAAAAAACCCAACCAAACCCGAGAACCGTGGGCGCTTCGAAGCTTGGCCCTTGGCTGGACGACTTCGCTCGCCAAGCCGGCCATCCTGGGAATTCCCCCCAAACACAAACTAAATACGAACGTACAACCATGTATGCACACGCCTATGTACATATACATGTATGTATGTATATATATATATACAGATGTGTATATATATATATATATGTGGAGATGAAGGTGTGTGTTCTGTATACATTTACATATGGCTGCTATGTTTATATGAGCTCTACCAAGCCAAGCCATAAAGGCTCGTCTATCAGAAGACCCTGCCTGATCAGTAACTAGCACTGGCCCTTCAGCCTCATCCTATGAATCTGATTACGCTTCCAGGATCTTCTCCGGGTCTGGTTTAGGGTTTAGGGTTCCTAGTGTCTCTTGGGCCCCACAGCCTCAACAGCCTCTTAGACCCCAACCCATACACGTGCGCGGTTTGGTCGAAGACGTCCTGATCATGGCAAGCTATTGCGAGTTCAGTGGTCTTGGGTGGTAAAACCTCCCCTGGCACGGCAGCAAGCGAAACATTCACAGAGCGTCACTGGTCGGAACTACACGTCCAGTTATCTGTTGGATTCTGCCGCATGCTGGCTTGTCATCAAGCTAGTAGAAGCCAGCACAGCCGCTCGGGCAAGCTGGCGCATGCGACCTCAAACCATGAGTTGGTTCATGCATTTGTTAAAGTCGAGCTTGAGATCGCAAGTTTCGCAGGTGAGGGAGTTACCACAGACGTCGCCGTTGACTTGAAGCAGGGCTGCAGGTGGGAACAAGGTCTGCCCATTCTGACACGTTGCCGAGTTGCCCTGTCCAACAACGAAAGCCCAGCCTGGCTTGCTATAGCACGTCTCGAGGAATTCTGCAGTGTTCCATTCCGGACATACGCCACATGCTTCTTGAAACCCACTAAGGGTAAGATTTCCAGACGGCGCGATAGCTAAAGGATGCGACAAGGTCCACCAGTATCCACATTTCTTAGCTGGTCCACCCCAGACGCGATGAAACTTCTGCGTCTCGGCCGATCGCACAATCTGGTAGTCGAGAATTCCACCCTTGCCAGGAACTTGCTGCAGGGCGTACTTTCGCGCAGACTCACTCAGCGCTTTGAACTCTGAATCCCAAAATGGCAACTGCCCGAGATCCTCGGGTAGCGGAAATTCGTAGACGACCGACCACGGGTGCACCTTCTCGGCGTCGGCGTCCGGTTGATGGTGGCGTTCCGCTTTGATTTGCAACATGGCCAGCTGGTTATCAGCGTCCCACACCTCTTCCGCTCGCACAGTGCAGACTATGCTGAGAATTGAAACTGCCTGCAGGATGCGCATCCGAGGCACAAAAACCGTCATGGCGAGGACGACAATTATTTCCGCACGGCAAATGGGTTCTCCGGTACGGTAAGATGGATGGCTGGTCAGCCAATCGCTTCGGCAATGTAGCATGGCATGCACGGCGTCTGTTCCTGTAGGTCTACTTTTGCTGAAAATGCACCTCAGACGGCAACCGCACGATTTTCATATTATGACCCACGAAAGCATGCACATGACACGTACATGCGAAACAAATCTTACTAAAATCAACGACCCTTGCGAGAGTTGAGAGACCGAGTTGAGAGAGAGAGAGAGACAGAGAGAGAGAGAGAGAGAGAGTCAGTGAGTCAGTGAGTGAGTGAGCGAGCGAGCGTGTTTTCTCGTGTATTACTGCCTGAACTCCTGAACTGACCGGACAGCAAGGTTTACAGCCCCGCACCGTAGTAAACCCCAAAACCATCCAAAACCCCAAAGCCCTCAACCCAAACCCCTAAACCCCCAAACCCGAAAGCCCCAACCCGAAACCCTAAACTAAACCCCAAAAACCCGAAAAAATCGAAAGCCCAACCCGAAACCCTAAACCCAAAAAAAAAAACGAAAAGGAAGGAGGCTGAGAGGGCCCGGCCCGGTCAAACATCTGCCGATGCTGCTCAAAACGGGCGCGGACGATGTGCAGATACCTCAGACTCTACGGTTTAGGGTTTAGGGTAATCTTAGGGCCTCAATTGATAGAATAGGGGTTAGGGGTACGTTATAGCTAGCATGAAAACATTGTATAAGCAGGGTTTCGAGTTTCGGGTAGATAATCTTCCGGGTGCTTACAGGGAGGTTGGGGGAGTGGATCCCCCAAGTGTCCTCATGCACGCCCTTATGGTAAAAGAGGGGCCGTAAGAATTTGAATAGAATTTTGAGGGGTATATTATACTATCACTATAATGAGAAACCCCCAAGATAGTACTGGTAACTTATTATTTTGGCCCCTATGCTAGTCCTCATGTTCCTTCCCCCACTCTTGCTTACGCGCCAGCAAGCAGTACAGGGGCTTTACCAATTCAATCCGGGTTTGGCGATATTACAGCATCAATAAGGAGGCTTTAGGATACAGGTTATTACGAGGATTCTGAGTTTAAGGCTTTGGAGTATTATGCGTATATGTCTTATCTGGATTCTAGACGAGTTCGCAAGGGCTTAGGGTTTTGAGGTATTCTAAGGATTCTTTCAGGCTCTAGGAGATCTCTTCCGCTATGGTCATACCCAATCCCTTTTTTAGGGTACAGATCCTAACCACGCAACCCTGATACACAAAAAGGGGTAGCTACTTTTCTGGACGACAGATCCTAACCATAAAAGTGTATACCCTAAACCCTACACCCCTAAACCCCCTAGAACCCTAAATCATAAACCCTACTAGAACCCCCTAAATCTAAACCCCCGAGAACCCTAAATCGTAAACCCTAAACCCCTATAAACCCCCTAGAACCCTAAATCCTAAACCCTAAACCCCCAAACCCCCTAGAACCCTAAATCCCAAACCCTAAACCCTAAACCCCTATACACCCCCTAGAACCATAAATCCTAAGCCCTACACCCTTTACTAAATCCTAAACCACTAAACCCCCTAGAACCCTAAATCCTAAACCCTAAACCCCTATAAACCCCCTAGAACCCTAATTCCTAAGCCCTACACCCCTTAAACCCCCTAGAACCCTAAATCCTAACTAAACCCTTAAACCCCCTAGAACCCTAAATCCTAAGCCCTAAAACCTATAAACCCCCTAGAACCCTAAATCCTAAGCCCTAAACCCCTATAAACCCCCTAGAACCCTAGAGAAACGGGGTATAACGTATGACCCTTCGGGGAGAGTGCCGATGCTCCGTAAGGCTGCGGCGCATCGGGGAGCTCCCGGGTCTCGATAATCTGCCTGCGGAGTGTGATTTTTATACATAAAAAAATTATATATATATATATATATATATATGCACATATATATATATATATATAAATTTTGAAAATGTACTATGGTATGCCAGAATATACTATGATACACTATAATACACTATGATATGCCATAAGACTACACGATAACGTACTATACCATAATATAGCATAATATACTCAAGGCTGTGGCGACCATTATAGATAGTAAAGTCATATGCGGACTTCCGGGTTGTGCGTTGGTGGTTGTCGATTCGGGTTTAGGGAATGTTGTGGTGCTATGAGGATGGTCGTGGGAAGTATGGAGCAGTCTACTTTCCTCCGGACCTTGCCAGGAAAAGCGGCTCGCAGCCACAGGCCTTAAACTATAAACCTTAAACTGTAAACCCTAAACCCTATAAGTTTTAAACCTAAACCCTAAACTCTGAACCCTAAGCCTAAACCCTAAAAACTCTATAAAACCTACAACCCCTTGGGGGCCCCCAAGGGGCCTTAATAATCAAAAGCATAGGGTTTTGGGGTGTCTATTATGCTATATGGGTCCCTTTTTCGGTCCACAATATAGTACGGCACCCTTATAAAAGGGACCCTAAAAGGGACCCCAACTTAGCGAACTACCCATATTCATAAGCCTAAACCCTAAACCCTAAACCCTAAACCCATTGCCGTCCTCAGCCTGGCGGGGCTGCTCAACACGGGGCAGTTCTCATCGATGAGTGCATCCTGACTCTCTTGGTCTGTCTGGTGCTTAGTAGGGAATGTGAGAATGGGTTATAGGGACTACTACAACTAGAAGGGACCTTAAGGGATTATCATAGGGATCCATTCCCCCATTCCCGACTAAGAACCCGACAGTGGTTGGCGTCTGAGTTTAGGTTTGAGGTCTATAGCGTTTAAGGCTTGGGGTTGAGGATGGTTCAGGGCTTCGTTTAGGGCTTCTTCTGGGGCTTCTAAGGAGCCTCACCGACCTGAGTATGTATCAGCTTCGGGACAGCAGGACGTTTCGGATGGCTTGCATACGAGGTGGCGGGCCTTTTCAGATCTGTGAGATTTGCACCCCAAGAAATCCGCAAGTCATGTGTCCATAATACGGAACTGTCTGAATATTAGGGGTCTCTTTTCAGGATCCCGCTAGATAGGGCCGAAAGCAACCCTGACAGATACATGTTCTGGCATTTCCATTGCACCTGGTATAGTATGATTGAAGGACAGCTTGCCGGGAAGATGCAAGACTGCTACTTGAAGGTGTCAGGGCTAAACAAAATAACTACTCGAAAACCCTCCCCGACAGCTGCCCGCGAACCTTCAAGGGAATCTTATCATCCGTAAGCCTAAACCCTAAACCCTAAGCCCAATAAACCCGAAAATGCTCCAAACCCCGAAACTCAGGCTGCCGAGGCACGTAGGTAGGGATGCGGCGCTGGTGCATGCTGTAGAAGGACGTGTCCTAAGTGCAAACCCTGAGGGCCCAAAAGGGCCGGGTTTAGGGTTTAGGGTTTAGGGTTTAGGATATTCGGGGTAGAGTTGTACAGGCCGGTACTTTTCAAACGATATGATTCTTGGGGGAATTATACACGTATACATATAATGTACACATATGCACATAGTTACTGTACATTAATGCTTGGTACTCGGACCCTGAGGGAAAGAAATCTCGGCTGCCTAGGAACCTGTCTTGCGGAGCTTCGGGTTCCAGGTTTTGGGTTCAGGGCGTTTAGAGCACTTCTATGACACCGAGTCTGGCTTGCAAAACTCGGGGCAGTGATACATGTACTTTCGGATCAAGATATATACAACATAGTACATATTATGGCTGTGTATACATGCATACATACGTACGTACGTACATATATATATATAGAGAGAGAGAGAGAGAGCTCTCTGTCTCTGTCTCTCTCTCTCTCTGCGGACCCGGACCTTGATAGTGCCAGGGTTGGTGACTGGGGCCCGTGCCCAGTCAGGTCTCGAGGGTGCCTGCTCGGTCTCTGCAGGAGTCTTCGATTTCGTCTCGACCGTGCCTGGCCGGGTCCAGAGGTGGTCAGAGGCCGTGGCTGAGCCAACGGTCGTGGGCCGGGATGTCACAGATCCATAGCAGCGGTAACCCTTGTGTGGTCTTTGAGGTGCCTTGCCGACGAAAGGGCTGGTTTTCGGCCGAAGCCGGTGCGGAGGGCTTGCTGTTAAAGGCTTCGGAGGCAACTGAGCCGCTGGAGCCGTGGCACCTCGTTGCTCACCCATACGCTGCAGGCTTGCCAGCAGATGAGCTGACTGCGCTTGCTTGTGGGAGATGCTCGGCTTGTCTTCCACGACCACAACTTCGTCGGACTCTTTGTCCTCTTCTTCTTCGTCCTCAAAGAGGTCTTCGTCAAACATGACCTGGCTGATATTGCTCATCTGAACAGGCTGCAGCAAGGTCTTCCGACGGGGCGTCCCGGGGTCCTCCTCACTGGACTGGGAGGCGGATTCTGGTGCCGTGCACTCCAGGATAGCCCGGTCTCCTGGCTCCCCCGGACGGGTAGAGACAACGAGGAGGTCACTTAAAACTTTGGGCTTCTTCGGGGCCCGAGCATGGGAAGAGGCTTTGTGCTTGCCCGAAGACTTCTTGGGCCCATCCTGCGGCGAAGCCTCACCCGAGGCCTTCTTGTCCTCTTTCTGCTCCTCATCTGAAGGCAGCTCGCGGGCGTTGTCCCGTTTTGCCCTAGCCGCTCCCCTTCTCGAGGAGAGTGGCCGCTCCTGGTTGCGGAAGTACTGCTGGTAGGCCAGATGGTTCTGATACTGCGGGTTGTACCGCGCATACGGGTCGTGCTGCCACTGATTCTGCTGAGCCAAGTGGGGCAAACTTAGCTGATTGCTGTTCTGGTGACCATAAAAGTTCGCTTGTTGCCAGCTCGGATTCGCACCGGGCGTCCCATCTTTATGCCAAAGAATTTGGCATGCCATTGGGTCCGAGGCTATCTGCGAGGTCAACTGCGGAACAGGAGCTGTGGCGCCGTAGCCAATGCCCATGGCGGCCGCATACAGGGCGCCTGCTGCAGCCTCGTCTACTGAGATGGTCAGCTGCTTCCCTTGTCCGTAGTCCTTCCAGGGCTCCACCTAAACCCTAAAACTAGGCTAGACAAGTTCTAAGCTGTCGGAAAGTCCTTGAAATCGGAAGATGCAAACAAATACCCCAGCTGTTCGCCAGAGATGGTCGCTTCCAGGTGCGACTGAAAGTCAAAGCCAGGGCCCACGTCCGGGGCTCCGGGTGTTGGTGGGGCCTGACGACATGCGCATCTATTGCAGCGTTCCTACCAGCATTACACTTTCTATCGCTTGCTCTTCTTGTTGGTCTTAGTGCCACTACCGTGTTCTGAAGTCTGAATCCAAAGATAGTCACATCGGGTTTCTTCTGCTGAGTATGCGAAGCTCTTGCCAATCTCGGACCCCTTTGTGCAAGTTGGGAGAGAATCTGCCTTCTTGTTACACTAAACCGCTCAACCCTAAACCCTAAACCCTATAGGGTTTAAGGTGTAGGGTTTAGCGACCCTCGTGGAAGGCAGGCCATCAGCTGCTTCTGATCAACTACCTGAGTCTTTGGTGATCCTGGCCCCGCAAATACCGGATCCAAGGTTCCCCTGTATGGCTCCAACGACCTAAAGAATGGGTTACAGGCATATCCCTCAGCATCAAAATAGGGCAATAGCCTTATATAATAGGGTCTCTGGGCTCAAAAGCCTTGAAACATGAAGCCTTTGAGGGTAAGGGTATTACTAGGGCACCTGGAGCCCTGAGGTTCGGCAGGGCTTGCGACCCTACGCTAAGCTTTCCTGAATGTCTTGGTACGAGTCCAATTGTCGAACTTAAAAACAAAAACTATCAGGGGCAGGGGAGCCCGAAACAACACTTCAGGCAAGCGGCCTGGGGTCCAAAAGCAGGACAGAAAACCGCTCCGTAAAACCGTAACCTCAGAGCCCCGCAGAGCCAAGACCCTGATCCACTAAAATGCCAATCTAGAACGCCCCGGAAAAGTCTCACCCAAAGCCAGAATGCCCTTCAATCGCCTGTCTATAGCACTCATGAAGCAAAAACCTCTGTAGAGTTTAGGGTTCTGTTGAAAAACACAACTTAAAGCCTAAACCCTAATCCCCAAACCCTACTCCCTGAACCCTACCTAAACCTGACTTCAATCCTTAACCCTACCAAAATCCTAAACCCTAAACGCTCTTTATGTGTTTGCACTACCATGGTGCGTTCTACTACCACAATACAAGGTGCACAACAGATATGCTGCCGATTGTATGTGAAATGAAGGAAAACACTGTTAAACTTGAAGCAATTATTTCACACATCGTTCCAGCTTCCTCTACAACTTTAACACCCGGCAACCGAGGGTGCAGAGCCGACCTTGCCGTGTTGTGATTCCCTTATGTCCTGACTAAGTGAAGGTCTGTATAGTTGTGTGAGTACTCAGTTTAGTTTAGTCTAATTTTAGTATCTCAATAACTCAGTATGACTGAATGACTTGCTATGACGGGCCCCACAACAATGCACCGATACACTGACTGTCGCAAGACTGTATTTTTGCAACTTGGCGAACACAGATACACATTGCCGTAACATGTACTGCATCAGGGTTCTATTCAGCCTGTATGTACACAGGTTAAGAGGTCGGTGACATCATCCATGCTTAGACCAGCGTGTGTATGCATGTACAGATAGATGGGTAGATAGGTAGATTCGTAGATAAGCAAGTACGTAGATAGGTAGATAGACAGATAGATAGATAGATACACAGATAGATTGATTGAAGATAGTTAGATAGAATAAGAATATCCACATGTATGTCCGTATGTCTGTAATGTATGTGTAGATATAAAAACCGTACCTATTGGTATGGAATGGACTTTCCCAGTAAACTCATAATACATATTGGCAGAATCTCGGAGCAGCTTACATCTATTCTATGACTTGGTGCGGCGGTATATGAGGGAACCAAGATATGTAAGGCTTCCACGATTCCCTATGGCCCAGGCCCCCTCTGGATGCCCTCCATCCTTGCGACCGACTCTTGAACTGTTCGTAGACATTGTGTTTCTATGAGCTGCTCACTTCTTCCAAACACGTCTGTGTTCATAAACAGGGGTGTTCACATGCAACCGGCCACAAGTCAGGAACTTTTCCGCGCAGAAGCAACCAGAAAATAACAAACAAATTCAGGTCGTATGGTATGCTACCCTAAACCCTAAACCCTAAACCCTAAACCTATCATAAGCTCGGCATGGTCTTCCATGGAGGGTGGACAAAGATGCAGCGGGTCAGGATGTAAAGGTTTAGGGTTTAGGGTTTAGGGTTGGGCAATTGGTGCCAGTGCTCGAACTCTCCGTTGTGCTTGGTGGCTGGCATGCGCGCACGCGCGGGGGTGTGGGGCTAGAATAGCTACTCATACGGCCCCTAAGTGCTTGTAAACAGAAGGATCTTGCTTACAAGCAGAAACAGTGCTTATAAGCATAAGGCCTGCTTATAAACAGAAGGCCTGCTTATAAGCTGCTTACAAGCATGACATAAGATAGACCAAACAGTAGTCTTGTTTCAGTGAACCCTAAGCCCAAAAGAAAAGCCACAGCGTGAAATTGTGCGGGCGCGTCACCTGTGGCAAAAACCAAAGAAACTAAAAACAACACAAAAACCAACGAAACCAAACCAAACACAAACACAATCATTTTCACGCTTGTCGGTCTTCTTCAAAGAGTCTGGAAATCTTGTTGTTTGTTGTTGCCGTTGTTTTTCGGCTTTTTGGTTTTGACGGTGGGGCTGCGTGACCATCATTATGACCATTATGAATTACTGAACAATGTGAAGAAGAACCAAGTGACTCCCTACCACCCTCCCCCACCTGCCCCCCTTCTCTCAAAAACCAAAGTAAACCCGCCTCAACCCTAAACCAAAAAACAAAACCGAATCCCTAAACCCTAAACCATCCTAAACCCTAAACCAAAAACAAATTCAGAGCCCTACACCCTAAACCAAAAACAAATCCAGAGCCCTACACCCTAAACCCTAAACCAAAAAAAAGGAACAAAGCCACAAGGCGCGGCGCCTCCTCCGTGCCATCCTTTTGGGCTTCCGCCTCGGCGTCGATTTCGGGGCCCTGAGCCAGGCACGGCGGTATGCGATCTGCAAGACTTCAGGGGTTTAGGGTTTTAGGGTTTTGGGGTTTATGTGGTTTAGGACTTCAGGGGTTTAGGGTTGAGGGGTTTAGGGGTTTAGGGTTCAGGGTTGAGGGTTGAGGGTTGGGGCTTCGGAGTTTTGGGGTTTAGGCCTAGAGCTTGGGAGTTTGGAACTGGCTTTGGCGGAGTTGTTGTTTATGCTGTTGTGCCTTAGCGCTGAGGCTTTAAGAGACTGGCTCCGAGTGTTCAACTTGCAAATGGCTTCGCGGCTTTTTTCGGGTCCACGAAGTGGATTTAGGGTAGTGCAGCCCTTCATTTGGTGGATGTCACTGTCGTCCATGTCGTATCATCACTCTTGTCGGAAGCACTATACCTAGCGGCCCTCATGGTTACCCGAGTGCTGAGCTCTTAATACAATCCCCCTCCGGTACTATCCCACTCAACATAACTTGTGCAACTCTCGCGATAATACTGGTTAGGGCTATAGGGATAACGATGGCGACAACAAAGAAGATGAACAGAATCGCATGCTCCGTAGCGGCAGCTTCACCATCACCATCGGCGACAGCAAAAACGACACCATCACCGACAACTACGTAGTAGCAGTTTATTAGTAGCCCTCAAAGCCACGGATCGCAAAAGTCCCTAATCCCCATCTTAACCACTAAGGACGCTAGTGTACAATCGCAGACCGCTAGACACTATAAGCCTGCAGCTTATTGCCGGCCAAGCTACGATTGCTGCCTGCTCAGCAGCGAGCGCCATCAGCCGGCAAAGCTCATGAAGCTACTAATGTCTACCTAATCTTAAACCCTAAAGTCTTATCCGTTAGACCCGGGACCCCCTGTACCCTGGGTGTGTGTCGCTCAAATCTAAGGAGACCTGGTGCTACTGTAGGAGAAAAAGTTTAGGGCTTAGGGACTGAGGGCGCAAGGTTTCCTAGGGCATATGATGCCTCCCCATGCTTAAGGGTTAAGGTTGAGAAAAGCTTATGTATGGGTATAAACAAAGAAGCGACACAAACAAATCACTGCGTTGTGTGTATATATCATATACATTTTCGTGGAGTCTGCAACTCACATGGCACACACAATAACTTATGCAAGCCAAGGGCTGTCACTTCCAGAAGTGCGGCTTCACAACTGTGGCGGACTCATTGCAAGCGCACTGCCTCACAGCAGCGCTATCTGCTTATCATGATGGTTGACATGACATAAACGACTAGGTAAACGGATGAATATGCACGGTATTCATATTGATACAGGTATAGATATTAACTAAGCAAACATGGACATACTCATACACATGCAATATGTAATGCTATAGTATAGTCTGAGCATGCTGTCTTATGCTATCTTCATGATGCTGTATTACAACAACAGTAGTTTCGTATACTTTGTTTATAGTAAGCAATCGTATGTTATACTACACCATAGCATGTTGTTGTCATGTCTCTTTGTACTATGTCACTTCATGATATTATGCTATGTAATGGCGCACTATACTGTACATCAGGTTATATGATGTGTTATTATTGTGAAAAAACCATCTTATGCCGCAGTGCATCTGAAAGTCTTCGATGCATATACGCATACGTAAGTACGCATGTATGCATTTAGGTGTGTACGTATAAAGTATTTTCATATACATTCATATGCATACGCACATGCTTACATATGCATACAGATGTACACATGAAGTGTTTACATACATATAGACAGAAACACACACATACATAGATACATGCATCCAGCCCATCCATGCATGCATGCATGCATACATACAATTACATATATATATATATATGTCATCACACCACGGCGGTTTCTATAGGGGTCCTATATTATGTGCTATTCTCGCAGATATATAGGGCTACTTGAAGGATTATTACCATAGGGGTTACTCGGTTATTGCAGACTGTAGACGTTGTTATAACGTGTCTAGTAAACTTGACAGTAATCGTCCATGGCCGCACTGCAGCATCTATACCGCCACATTGCGGCTGGCCCGAACCCAACAAAACCGCTTCAGTCATTCTGGCGGAGCCTCGAGTTGGCGCGTCCTCATCTCCTGGCAGCTCCGCCGAAATTGCAAATGCGCCCAGGTTTAGA